ACTGTCTCTAAAATATTTCCATAAATATAGCAAAAACTGATATTTTTTTATTCTAAATTTACAGAATAAAGGGAAAAGGTCCACGTAAACTGCGACTAATCTACATAATTATGGCAGGAACACTTTATATGGACATGTGTGTAAAATTTGCATACATTACATAGGACGTGCTACCAATTTCTTACGTACTGTATTTTAAATATAATGATATAATTATGCGCGATATAAACATCAACAAATTTAATATAACATGATACAAACTGTATTCGTTTTTATTGAAAAAAAAAAAAAAAAAACAAAAAGAGGAAAAGATATACTCATTTCCACAAAAAATACAAATTCCTTTCAATTTAATCGTACTTCAAAAAGTAAGCATTTTGAAAGACAGGATGCCATCACTTGATTTTAGCTAATATCGCATAAAATTCATTAAAATGCATGAAGTAATTAACGATCAAAAACAACATTAAGTACTTTTTAATGGAGGCGTTTAAATTGTAAATCTAAATAATTTATTTAAAAAACGGCCAATAGCATAACAAAATTAAATATACAATTCTGTGACGTATACTGTACTTATATATCGCTACTTTAATTAATCACTGTGGTTTTTCTATCAGTACAGGACTTCCTTTACCTAATCCTCAGATTATAAATTAATCATTGAAATTTATCATACAGCAAAACAATTTAGTGCCATTTTTCACCTAAAGATGATAATAAAAATATAAAAGGAAAGAAACAATTAACAATAAAATAATTATAATAAACAAAATGTATCTGAAAATAATTCTGGGACTAAATTACGTTCTATCAAAAATAAATAATTATCCAGATACAATTAAACGATGATACATCTTCGCTTTAACTTCGGTTCGATTATAGCCCAAGAAATGATGATATTCTCAAAGATTCCTGACCATCTTCTCAAAGCACAATTATTTCACCACCTATCCACTTTTTAATTGCCACAGTGACCAAGACCATAGCGAACATCCAAAACGTATTTCAAAGGGGATAGCGATTTACGACAGTATTGTTCCACGATTCGGTGCTAGCTAACAGTATATACGTGTATGCGCGTGTAATTGCATGACGTGCCAGTCGAAGTCGACCGCGAAACAAGCTGAAAATTCCCTTAATTCGTACGTGCAGATATTCCGGTCGCGTTCGCTGCCAAAAAATTAAATTAAGCTTTTATGGACGTTTACTGTTCCGCTGGTCGATCCAGGCATCCCCATAAGGGTTCTATACCAGAGATTTACATCCTTCAAATAAAGTCACGAGTGCACTGAAGTGACCTGATATTTTGTATCTACCATGTATCTAATTTTGGATACATGATTCTTAACTATCGAGTATTTTCAATTTGAATGACCAATATTTCTCTATTTTAATTTTATTCTCTTTTTAAATAAAATTTGAAATCGATTTGAAAGGTGTAAAACACTCTAGTGTGAAGCAATGACTATTTATGAATCCAATTTGTGAATAGCATATATAATAAACTATCTAAGTAAAGATAAAATTAAAATGAAGGAATTATAAAATTAGGTATAGATATTGGAAATATCTATTTAAATAATATTTTAATAATATTAAATCAAAAAATGTATTTATAACAAATCTTCTATTTAGAAAATGTTATTAAAAATGTATAGATATTAAATTTCGGAGAGACTCAAGAAAAAGCACTGACTATTCCAATTATAATATGTATAGTTTTATTATATTTGCTAATGCTTCTTTATTCTAAGATATTAATATAATATATACAATATAAGATATTCTAAGATAATTAATCTGAGAATTTTCCTTCTTCAAAAAGACAGTGATTGCTTGAGATTAGCAGTCGAATGAAATACAGCTATTTTAAAATAAATTAAATGTTAATAAATATATGAAGTGTATTTCGTTATTTTCTGTTGAATAGTGAAACAAGCTATAATACTTTTGAAACACCTATGGAAAGTCCCGAAGAAAGGTCCCATGACTAGTGACCCAAACAATTTCTAGAATTGATCACCGTGTATCGAAATATATTTCCACGTATCGAGAAAAATGTCGTTTCCTTCGAGAAAATCAACTAATATATCTACAGCGTGCTGGAAACTTTTTTCATTTCAAACTCTCTAGATAGAAAGAGGAAAAATTTACGGATACAGTTCGAGCATTTATTACCGAATATATTTTATTATCGTATTTTAATTAACGTAATTTAACGAGGCAATAATATTATTTCTTCTCTTATTTGACGATTAAAATTCTGTTATATGGTAATAATTTAAAGCGAGAAATTATATGTATTATTAAATTGAAATTAAATGCTTATACTATATTGCTTATATAAATATTAATTACAATGCTATTTAACTTCGATTCACTTAATTGTGATTCTATATTTGTGTTTTATTAGTATTCCATTTTATATTGGGACACAACGATCCCATGCTAGCTTCTGGCGAAATTTTAATTGCATAATAAAATTAAAAAATGATACCACGGAATCTTAAATTATGCAAAAGTCACGAAAAAGATGTGTTTCTGCGGGAATAAAATTTGAATGACATTTTCTAATTTTATTACAAATAATTAAACAATAATAAAATAAGAAAGTAATGCGAAAAATCTATAAATGCCATATCTAAATATGCCATTTTTAAAATAAATATCTTTGTGGTTAATTTGATTGAAACATTAATAATTAATGTTTTTGAAATGTTCAAATTTAAATTTAAAAAATACGATATCATAAATCAAATAAGATGTTTAATATTTTTGTGTTATTCATTATTTCCAATTTTTTAAATATTAATCATTGATGGTACATCTGTAATTAATCTCTTACTATTATAACTATTTTATATAACTATTTTTTTTATACGTTAAAATACCATTTGACTATTTACTGTATTATTGATATATGTTATTACTTCTCAAATTTTTCTTGTTTATTAAAAGAATCTGTTTTGGTTTCGTCTAAATTACAAGCTACAGTGACATTTGCCATTTATATAAATAATAAAAGGAACAGCTAAATTCCATATTTTTGATAAAATATGTCCATCAAAGAGAAACAACTTTGGTAAAATGAAATTAAAATCATACAAATGTTAGACAGAAATGGTGACTCAAATAACCATGGATAAATAAACCAATACTTTCATTTCCACTGCAATATAAAAAAGATATTACGTTGTTTTTGTGCTATTTCTGAAATTAATATGATTGCAACAGCATTTTATTTGATTTCCAATATTAAGTTGAAGAATAAAATAATCTATACACAATTTCGAAAAAGTGCATAATAAATTAAAATTATTACAATAAATACTGAAATAATAATAAATGCAATAATGACATTGCTGAGAGTAGTAATAATTAAGTATTTCTCAAGAATTTAAGATCAGCATGAAATACACCTAACGAATAGTAAAATAATTTATATCACGTGAATTACTTTAGTAAAAACCTAATTCTTAATTATACAAAAAATGTTACGTCTATACCTTTTATATTTAGAAGTAAATTATACTATTTTTATTTTTCCTATTCTATGTTTTATATGTTGTCATTTTTGCAAAAAAAGCACCTTTACATTTCTATAATAAGTATAAGCATAATCTTAATCAAGTAATATACAAAAGGCAACATTTTTCAACAAAATTTATTTGAATAAAAATATTTATCTATCGAATCCCTTGACTATTTTTCCAAAATTGGAAGTATATAATACTCCAATAGTTTTAATGTTTAGAACCAAACTAAATCCTTGCTCAATTCCAATAATAACCAATTATTTAAAATATTCCTCTACAAAAATCATTTAAAATTAACCATGTAATTTATATAACAACAATATATAGTCATTATTAAAATGAAACTATTTCATTTCATAATTTACAACCGTCAGGGAATTTAAATACACCATTATTAATTTCATCACGGTATAAATTATAAATTTATCATTTATTATTTATACTAATTCTACAATATGATATGAAAGATTACCTTACGAAAGGTAATTCTAACTACACAGGAATCAGTCTATCTTCAAATAGAAATTTTAAACGAATATGAAAGACAAGTATTGTTCTCACCAAAGTGAGAGTTCCCATCTTAAACACAATATTTCGATTCTTTCAACCGTTCCTAATTGTTACTTCCGTCACTTCCAACCGACAGAGCCCACTGTTTGTAAACATTTTTCTGGAATGGCGCGCCGCTGAGGCGAAGGAAGCCAAGGAACCGAGGCATCGGTACGTATGCGCGAAGAAACAAAGAGGAACCAAGACATCGGACTCGTGCCAGACAAGGAAGAGCTGAAAGAAGAAGAAGGGAGGGGCAGGAAACGTGGTGAGACGTAGCGATGGGACTAATTCGATTATCATTCCTCAATGTACAATCAATCTTGACACCTTCAATAATCGTTCGACGATATTATATCAAAATTTTCAACTAAAAAACATTCACCGGTCGCGATGAATGTATATCGTCGCATCGATACATCAAATAGTTAAACACATACCGGATTGAAATATTAAATATTTAACGAATGACTCAGTCGATGTTTGAAACACGTCATTGTGACGGTTAAAAAAGTAAAATATGCTTGAAATTTAGATACGAGTATACGCTATTAATAATTATAAGTTTCTCTGTATTATAGCTAATAAATATTTTCATGTTGTGCACTGTACGTCCTTCAACATGCTAAGACTACTTAAGCGACATCGTGTTTAAAATACCGTATATTAATTTGTAATAAGATCAACGTTATTACACGGAAGATCATATGGCTGGAAAGGCTTGAAAATCCCTCCAAACGTAAAATCCGGCTCAATTTAACTAGCTTCGTGAACATTCGCGACAAACGAACATCTTTCGCAATGTTAACATTGCTTACGAGTTCGTCGTTCCCATCGCTACAGGCAGACTGACTACTGGGGTGGTTAGATGGACAAAAAGCGTGGCAGATCGACAAGTAACGCGAGATATACCTGGGATCGGGCAAGATGATCTTCTTGCTTGCACGGGCGGCCGGTGTACTTTTGCTCTTCTCCATGGCCATCAAGTAGCTGACGTCGGCCAGCACCGCCTCGAGGTCCGCCATTTTCCTCGGTGGTCTCTAAATCTCTTGACGCGAACACGGCTCACCCTGGAGCTGTTTCCCCGACGACACTCGGTTCACTGCCGCGGACGTGTTGTTCTCACTGTCGCGACGCCGGGAACGACGCGACCGACGCCGACATTCTGATCGAGCGACTGACGTGCACCCAAGTTCGCGATACTGACAGCTCCGTCGGGGATCTGCGCGCGATTTCCAGCGAGGGAATCTCGACTCTCCGAGCTCTCGGCGAGGTTAACGACACTCCCTCGGAACACAACACACTCACCCGCGTAATTGTTTACCGTTCACGCGGGCGACACGACGTCGATCTCTGACATGCTCATCGCGAGTCTCTCAGCCAACGAAAACGAAGAAGGAACGTGCAAACGGACGTGGAATCGCACGCGATCATTCACAACAAGCACGCATAAACTTTTGCGGTACCTACTGCTTACCGACTGACAACTGCCGAGCTCCGAAGCCTCGAGCCCGCGCGCACTTGTGCGCTGATTGGCGGATGGCTCCGTGCTCGTTCAACGTCTCTTTTAGAACCTTTCTAGCGACGCCTATTGCCCGAATGACGAACGAATTCCTTTGGTCTAACGGTTTCTGTAACAGCGACGTATCTTCGTCTCGTTTTCTGCATGTTTTACGTCTTCTTCACGGTTCGTTTCGTTTGCATCGGGTGCTAACTCGCTCGGTCGATTAAATATTTGGAAATGATCAACAGTGGTAAATATTTGTGCGCGAAAGAGGGAAACTTTTCATGTGATTTGTAATTAGTGGTGGTGTATTGGATTAGCTTTTTGACTAAGTGCGTAATAAGGATGTGATATTTGTTTTTAATGGGTGCACACTGAAATTTGAATTGTTTTATTTGCAGTGATGCGAAACGTGACTTTCGTAAATGCATCGCCATCTATACTGTGAGATTTGTATTAGATTAACGTTGCATGATGCATTCTATTGCTGTCAAACTTGCGAATATGTCAAATTCAAGGCATGATTAACGAGAATTTAGTATGAATTAAAACTTATAAATTAAGTATTCTTTTATATACATTTGTATATATTATATGTAAACGAATGTTTATCTTTATTTCATTATTTGAGTTGTCACCCTAATTTTTTCGTTATTGGTTATCACTGAAAATAATTTCATGTTTCCTTTAGAAGTGATAATATTAAATTTCGTTATGATTGTTAAATATAGAACGCTTAAAAAATAATAGCCATTATTAAACTCAAGAAAATAGTTCTCTTATTATTTAATTTCCTCATATATTTTGTATTTAATAAATCATTATTAGTATTGCTATACAACTTCATAAAATTGAATGAAAATTATAATTTCATTATATTTTTAACAAATTTAATTCTAATACAGTTAGAAATAAATTTAATTCAATGATTTAGATGTATTAAACGAAACTATAAATAATCTATCTCTCAATTTGAGTTATCGAAGTTGTAAAAATACTAATTTTGTAAACAACTTTGTAAATATATGTATAAATACTATAAAATTAGATCTCAGTCGAGAAGGGTTGAAGAACTTGAATGTAACGTAATTTTACTCGAAACTGCTGCGTTATACTTCGTTAATACATTGTGTGTAATAAAGATAAGCAATTATAAATTATGAAAGTAAATTAGCAATTTTTATTTTTTGCGATATTTAATTCAAATTTCAAATTAATTGGAAAGAAAAAATAATTATACGGTGAGTAATGTTACCGATAGTGCAATTTTGACAATATCCAGTGTAGGTATATTTCTGTTATGGTAATAACTGCATACACTTTCTACAAATATTAATATGTGACTACAAAATTGATAGATAAAACTCATCTCATTAAAAGTCGTTTATATCGCAATACATATAGTTATTTCGTCCAATTTTCAACATTCAATTATTCCAGGATAATTACCTTAAAAGCTCTTTTATCTAGTATCGATAAAATAGGTAACTACTAGCGTTTACCACCATTCAAAACAATTACGTAAACGACTGCTGCAAATTTTGTGTATTGAATATTTTCGCAAATATTTTGGATAAAATTTTATGGATTAAAATTACAGCGAAGCATCTGTCCGTGTAAAATATTTAATTACAAAGATCTTAATATAAAAATGAGTATAATGTATATTTCATTAATTTTATGTTACATTTTATTATGCAAATTGTCTATAAATATAAAACATTCGTTTTGTATATTATGAACTGGCTTATAAATATAAATATAAATTATTACTTTTATAATTATATATATTTTATATTATGTATTTATGATATAAATTTTCAAGTTAAAGAATTTGTGCTCATTTTTATAAATCCCTGGATTATAAAATATATAAATAATACTAACAAAAAAAAAAATTAAGTTTTAAAATTTGTATAATAGCATTTACAGGTTTGAAGGGTTAGCAAATTCAAAGAAAGTATTTGAAGTATTTGAAGTTTTACAAAGCCGATCGTCACTTCGAATAGCCTCAAATTCGTTGAGTGGTAATATAAAATGAGTATAAAACTAGTATATGTAATTAATAGATTAGCATGACTGCGTTGCCGCTAAATAGAAGATAGAAAAGGAACTTCTAAGTTCCAACGAGAACAAATTTCCACCTGCAATGGTACTGTCCCATTAATTTTTAATTTATTCCTAAATCACGTATTATGACATTTTATATATTATTATATGAGAATTATAAATATTACCTTGCCGTTTTTATTATTGTATCTCAATCTTTATTACTGTTTATTTATGCAACCTATGTGTAATTTACTTTATTTCATGGTAGTTTCTTTTCTGTACATTACTGACAGTGTCGATGAAGTTGAACTAGTCCTGCAGAAAGCAATGGAGCAAGATCGAATTTATATGGATGACAACGTAACTGTCATTAAACAAACGTATGCAAAATCTGCTATGGATAAAAATGAATTAAAAAATTCAGCAAGTTATTTAAAATTAATTATATTTATTCTAAGTGAATTTTCTTTTTCTTTTTAAATAACGCTCTAGTGAAATATATTCAAATTCCGTGTTTTCCAAGTTTTCTATCTAATGATTCATTTGTTTCAAGATGAAGTACGCTGAATTCAAAATTAATTATTGATTAATACTCATTTTATTAGTTTTATTTAAGTAAGAAATTTTGATCTATGTAATTTTTTGAGGATTTAAGATTGTTAAGAATTGATATTTAGTAATTAAGGTGTCATATGCATTAATTGGAAGCATATTTCACTGAAACAGACTTTGTATTAAATGCGAAATATATATTTAATACTCTAACAATTTTCTTTAAACTTTAGTCACTGCATATTCTATTTTATAAATAGAGCACTGTAACAGTAATTTACAATTACTTTGACGAATTCTATACAGTTTTAAATAATTCACGAAATTACATAAATCTTCAATGAAAAAAATTGCTATCCCTAAATTCAAAGTAAAATAAAGTATTAAATATCACTACTTATATTGTATCTATACTTTATTATGAGTAAATAGACCAAAAATTAATAGAAGAAATATAAATGCTATCGACTAAAGATACAAAATGCAGTCTAAATTTCTTAAATAATTTCTTACATAATCCATAGACATTTCATTTTATAAACTAAGTAAACACCAAGTATAAAATAATAAAATAATTATTTAGGTATTATAAAAGATACTTTAAATATTATTTTTCATTTCTCTCATTGTTGGACTTTCTTTGAAAAAGAAATTTATAAAAATAAAATGAAAAAATAAAGATGCGTTTATTTTAGCGGAATTTTGACCGATCATATTTTAGCCGATAAAAAGGATGTTATTTTAGTGACATCGAGCAGGATGTTCTTTGCATATGTTACACGGAGACCTATGACTTTTTGGCGGCAGGCCTAACGGATGGTTCGGTCAAATTGTACAAAACCAGTTCGGCGGATGTACTGACTCTACGTGACACAGAAATGATACAGAAACCAAGTCCTACGACCGCGGTTAAGCACAGGCCTGTCCGCAGATCTCATCCAATCACACGTACTGTTACTGCCACATGTTAGTATCTGACCTATTATCAATTTTCCTTATTTTTTATTAGAGTGAAAGTTGCCAAAATTGTGTTACTTAATACCTCTTGTCTTATAATGTGGTTTGGCACTGAAGATTGGATTTCTGTCCAACTTCTAATTTGACTTTGAGTTTATTTAATGATTATAGAGATTTGAAAATTATTTTACAATAAATACAACATTTTGGTGTCTTTCTTTCCTTCTTTTATTTTTCTCTTATAGGTATAGTATTGAAACAGTCTATGTATAGTTTATGTTAATATATATACTACTGGAAGAAATTATGAGGCTAGAGATGATGGAAGAAATCTCTTAGAAAAGGTTTAAGTATGAATTTTTATTTGAAGAATCTTTTCGAAGAAAATAACGTAGGATTCAAATTTCTTAGAGTATAAAGAAGACAAAATTGTTTTGATTTAATTATTTTTATTTTTATTCTTATTTGTTTTAGTATATAGTTCTCCTGGACAATACAATCTCGTAGTATAGTGTAGGAAAAATAAAAGATACTAAATTTTTGCTATTTCTTATCAAAAATATGGAATATAAAAATTTCATTGTTTGAAAGAAGAACAGATAATTAACCTTCTAGCTCTGACAAAAATGTTACAAATAAGAAATAAAAGTAAAAATCAAAACAAAGTTAAATATAAATCTTAGATATTAATATCGAACAAACTTTGTTCAGAATCAATCATTTAATTACGTTTAGAGTTATTTTGTGCGAAAAAAGCTTAAAATTTCGAACGAAGTCATCATACTGAGGCTCAAAAAAACGATCTAACGTGTTACTCTGCTATTTCGAGACCATAAAATAAGATTCCCAAAAAGGTCCTGCTGCGAGATTTTCTCTATTTTCCAACCCATATAATCTTTTTTTAACCCTCTCTAAGCTACGATATTCTATTTTAAGTAGCTCTTTCTCATTATAGAAATTAAATATTCCACTATTTTAAATGTGAAGTAAAAACCTTCGTTGAATATCGCGGATAAATATTTCAGATTATCTTGTAAATATCGCGGAGTAAATATTCATGATCAGATAAAAGACAATTTCAATCATTTCCTGGACTAAAGCGAAAATGTAGAGATAGAGATGTTTACGTTCAATCCTGTCTGAATTTAGTAAATATTTAGGAAATTTTTTTAACAGGTCACCTCCTGATACGTTCACATAAATTGACAGCAGATAATCTTGTATACGTTTCGCAAAATCAAGTTGATGCTTATATTTATCAAGTTTGCAGATATACAGTCAGTGACAAAAATAGTTGAACAAACTTGTAATTTTGCTTCCATGTTCTGTACCTAAGATAAATATACAACGAAGACAGAAATTTGTTATGTCATCAATATGAAGTATAATATTCATAATGTTGGCGAATACTTGGAATTTTAATCGAATTTTCATTGGTGAAAA